ATTGATTTATATTGTATCCTAGCTAGATTTTAATACATGTAACACAAATTTAATAACTTTATTTCAATAAAAAATTTTCGAAAAATCATCACAAAACTATTAATCTATATGTATTATCATATTTGTATTATTTTGTTCTTACAAGCTATACATCGATCTAATTTACTTATAATTATCTGTTGAGATATTAAATATCTTTCAGATGGCTCAAGCCAGACAGGAATTCATTCGCCAAGCCGAAGAATTAGAAGCACGAGCTGCTAAGGAAATGAGCCTTTTAAGAAAAAAGATGGACACTAGTAGACGCGTTGATGTACATGCAACCGAAGAACGTAAAAATTTGCATATACAGAGTCTGGAAGCCAATCATGAAAAGGCTTTTGCTGACATGAAAAGTTATTATAATGATATAACTATTGGTAATGTCAATGTAATAAAGACTTTGCGTGTACGTGACCCACATTTTACATATTGCGTTGACCATTTTTTAACTAAATGTTGCTGCATTAGTCTAAATTCACTCATTTTAAGTACCTAAAATAGTTTATTTCATATTTTATATTAAGTCTCTTTGGTACACAACTCTTGAGTTTTTAAAAAGTTATTGATTTAATTTGATTGGAATGCAAAAGAACATTAATCTAGATGGATAAAATTTCATGAACATCTGCCTGCATTATTTAATGACAAAAGTGTTGATTATGACTGAAACATTTATAGATGCGTGATAGTTCTCCAAGTTGATAACCATCCTTGTGTTTGCTATAGGATGTCTGAAATATTTATTTTCATTCTTCAATGCCATTTTATTTTATTTCGTTATTAGTTATTATTATTTATATCTATATTGTTTTATTAGTCTTATTTTATTTTATATCTAGGACAATATCGAAGAACTTCGTAGCAATCTAACACGTGTTCAACGTCTTCTTGACGAGTCGCATTCCGAAGAAATGCGCAAAACACAAGCCTTATCTGCTGCTGAAAATGAAATGGCACAGCTGCGAAAGATCTCAAAAATGTATGAAAGTGAAAAATCAGCGCATAAAGTATGATTATAATTCGTTTTGCGAGTTTCTTTTGTATGTGTACATCAATTCTAGATGAAAGCAGTATGCTTAGAGAAGAATTATGTATGGCTTATATTTAGAGGATAACAGATTTACATTTCTAGCTTATATAATTTTTAAGCGAGATATAATTGCAAATATGAAAGTTAAATAGATATATGAGTACGCATGTCCATTATCAAATGCCACGGTCATAGCATAAGTAATATACTGTTTGTACCTTAAACGGACATCGGCGCTACAAAAGATTTTGTATTGGGTTTCCAAGAAAAACTTTTATTTTAATAGAAATGTTTACTACTTATCTTTGTTAATTTCATCTGGAAATTTTAAGCTAACCTATAATTTCATTTATTCTTTCACCAACGCGCGTTTATACATATAGGCTTTTTGTAGGCTTGTACTGGCATATATTTTGAATATAGGAATTTGACAATATCTCCCTTCATTTTAATTCAATTTATCAACTTTGATGTCATAATTTACCTACCTTCATCATTATCTTATAACAAATTTAGACCGATCTTAGACGAGCAAGAATTCTAGCCATAACAGGGATTTACTCTGTACTTTTGTAAGAAAATTACCAGTGATGTGACGTTTTTTGGTTGAAACAATTTTAATTTATTAATAAAGGCCACAAACTTACGTATAGTGCTTGATTTTATGTGAAAATAGTGACTTTGAGTCGTTTCCTTTATAGTAATGATCACATTTTCATAGTTTTTGGGTTTGAAATTAGCAGTAGGTCTTGAATAAGAGCTGTAATCATAGTTTGCATGAGATGATAAAGGACTGACTGCTTAATTTACTTACAATGCTATGAATAGGCCACACCTCCATTGAGTTTCATATATTTTAGCTTCCTAAAAGATATTATCATCCAGGATAGACTAAAATTTCGACCTCGTCTTGATCTCATTAACACGTTCAGTGTGATTTGAACCAGTTTAATGCAGCAAATAGTCTCGACATGCTACCACTACGCCACACTACCACAAATGCCTCTGGATCGAAGGGCAGATGCGAATTTAAGGCAAAACTAGGCATTTAACATATTACATTTATTTAATAGGATTTTATAAGAGACAATAGACTACATTACTTATATTTTCAATAACTATGTATCTTTACTACCAATGGATCTTGAGTAATTGACGTATTTATTCTGTATCATATAGGGGAAGAAATGACTGGTAGTTAAATTTCATGTCTGCTCTGCAAACTAGATGTATCATGGTAGTATTGAGTAGTGCTAACTTGCTAGGACTATACGCTGCTTCCCGCGCGGTCGAAGCTTCAGTCCACTCTGGATGAGAATATCTTTTGAGAAAAAAAGGCTACGAGATTAAATGAAGGTGGGAAGCATATTTCTAGCATTGTGGTAAAATTAAACTATTAGTCTTTCATCACATGCGACTTAGGATGAATACAGCTTTTATCGAATTTAATCTTGAATCAGGCAATCTTATATATCCTGTCTTCTCTATAAATAGCTAAGGATAGCTCAAAATTTATGTGAATATAAGTATTAGTGGAAGACCTTAAATAGCGACGAGTTTAACAATATTTTATTATGATTTGAGGTAGAAGGGAGAGTTGAACTTCCCACAATGAAATGAATAGAATACCTCACGGTACAATTAATTTCACTTAGTCTTGCTTCTTAAGAAGCTTTCTTATCCTTGTGTGCCTCAGCCTATACCTGACCTAAATCTCATCAGCACCTCCAATTGGATTCGAAACTATGCCATTCGTGTTGACCACCACGACTAACACTCCACAACAGGCATAACCGCCAATGGACACAGGACGCACGCGAATTTTAAGGCAAACCAGGCTTCTTCCAATAAACATATATAGGGGAAATTATTTATTTGCCATTGCAATAAATCGCAGTACTCTTTTCCAATTAAGTGAGTTTGGAACTAGCATTAGCTGTTGAACAAGAATGTGAATCGTCTCAGTCGCTTAGAGTGATGTTTGACTGATTTCTAAGTCGCCTTACTGGGCCTCAGGCAACTAAGCAATAGGAAGAGCTTACTCATAACATTGATATATATTTTTACAATTTAATCATTTTTTAGACAACTCAAGATTCAAAAAGCCGATTAATGGCAGAGGTTCGTGGATTGAAGCTAAATCTTGATATTCTTCAGGCCAAATACAGTGAGGTGAGACCTATAGATCACCAAGATCTTTGAAAAAATATTCGCCAAATCTAAAATATATTTATATTTAATTACTTGCGTATTCATTTTGATGGCTTGGCAAATAAGGAAAATTGAGTTCTTTATTGTTAAAACATTTACTCTGTATTAACCCGAGTTGTTTCAAATTGATTTACATGCTATTCCAGCAGGATAATTTTATAACTACTTCATGATATCATAACCTCGCTTTCTACTATTTCTATGCCTACCATGGATTAATAAATTTGGAGACTTATAAATTTGTAATACAAGGCTAAACACAATTCAGGGATACCTACAAGAGAAGTGGAATGCCTTGCCATTGTCTTTAAGCCTTTTAAAGAGTCTTAAATGGCTTTCCTATTTCGATGTATAATTCCTTATGTGAAGCATGACATCATATAAAAACCCTTAGAAACTTCGAAATAATGACCATTTGCACAACTATAAAACAAAAGCCACAAAATGTTTTGAATTCGTAAATATCTACTAATGTTCATATAACTCATATTAAGCGGTCTAGAAAATCGTCTCTTGACTTTGATTATTGAGTAACCTTATCCAGATTGACCTAATCGATCACAACCTTTTGAAGACGAAGGACCTTTTCCAAAATAGCCAGCTTGGATTTGCTGAATAAACTATTTGATAGAAAGGGTGAGTAATCAAAGGCGAGAACCTGATGATAATTTAATTAGGCTTGAAATAAATCTTATTTTATTCATCCGATGTATTTAAAGGAGTAAAAATTGTTATCTTTCCGTTCGGATACTTCATGACGTGTATCATCTAGTATGGAAAATTGTTTGTATTTCGTTTTTAGAGTTACTTGTTGAATATTAATATAGGTCGTGAACCTATAAAAAATTTAGGAGTTATGTACTTATTTTGACATTTCTGAGCATAAGGCGCATGAACTGCATTAGTAATAGCAATAATTGATAAAACTTTATCTTTACTCATAAGCTAACACTTGTAGCAGATTCGAAATGTGTGCATATGTATATGGCCGTCATTCAGACTTCCATGCAAATCCATGGAGTTTTTTATTTTTTCATACAATGGACTCTCATGTATACATTTTGGTATATCTGGTTATAGCCAAGCGCACTCACTTGTTCTTTTACCCCTAACTATAGGTAGAGAAGATGCGCGCCAATTTGGTTGGCCAGTTTGAATCCTCATTACTCGATATCAAACAGCGCTCTAGCCTTCGGGC